TGTGCCCATGGAAGGATCATGGGGTAGTGTAGATTTCAAAATGTCTAAATTATGATCAGTGGGTTAGGGTGGGGATGCATTATGTATTACAAGGGGGAAGTCTGGTAAAGAACAGAATGGTCAAAGCTTCTAAGGTGAGCGATGTGGCCCATGGGTCTCTTCTTTCAAAGTGCGTTGCCACAGACCAGGTTAAAGTTTTAGGAATAGATCAATCCCAATGAATTTGAAGTTCTTGATATCTACAGCATTAATAAAGTTATGAATATTTGTTCACACTATGTATGTTTTTGACGCTACATGTGTAGAAATGTGTATATGCTATGTAAAGAGTTAAACATTCAAACTTTCAAGAATATTGTTGTTGGGATAGATGCTAAATACTAAATATTAGGAAAATCTGATGTGAGATTTGCATTTAACTTACACTGATAACATTCGTCGAGGTGAGCCTCGTAATCTTTGATTACCTGTGTTTTATTAAAGATATCTAGATATTTTTATTGAACTTCATATGTTGATACATACTGATGTGAGATATGCAACTGCATCAACATTTTTGACCTTGACCTCACTTTTCGTAAATCAGTGTCAAACTTCATATGCTGATAAATACTGATGTAAGCAATTCAATTGCATCAACAATTTTGATCTTGAACTTTAATTTGACCTTGACCTCACTTTTATCAAATTGTGTACAAGTCAGTCTTAATTAAAGACATCATTTTTAGCTCACCTGAACCGAAGGCTCAAGTGAGCTTTTCTGATCACATTTTGTCCGTCGTCCGTCCGTCTGTCCGTCCGTCCGTCTGTCCGTCTGTCCGTCTGTCTGTCCGTCTGTAAACTTTTCACATTTTCGACTTCTTCTCAAGAACCACTTGGCCAATTTTGACCAAACTTCGTACAAAGCATCCTTGGGTAAAGGGAAATTTAAATTGTTAAAATGAAGGGACATATCCCCTCGCAAGGGGAGATAATAAAGAAAAGACAAAAATAGGGTGGGGTCATTAAAAAATCTTCTTCTCAAGAACCACTGGGCCAGTAAAGCTGAAACTTATGTGGAAGCATTCTGGTATAGTGTAGATTCTAAATTGTTCAAATCATGACCCCCGGGGGAAGGGCAGGGCCACAATGGGGAATCAAAGTTTTATATAGAAATATATAGGAAAAATCTTTGAAAATCTTCTTCTCAAGAACCACTGGGCCAGAAAAGCTGAAACTTATGTGGAAGCATCCTGGTATAGTGCAGATTCTTAATTGTACAAATCATGACCCCCGGGGAAAGGGTGGGGCCACAATGGGGAATCAAAGTTTTATATAGAAATATATAGGAAAAATCTTTGAAAATCTTCTTCTCAAGAACCACTGGGCCAGTAAAGCTGAAACTTATGTGGAAGCATCCTGGTATAGTGTAGATTCTAAATTGTTCAAATCATGACCCCCAGGGGAAGGGCAGGGCCACAATGGGGAATCAAAGTTTTATATAGAAATATATAGGAAAAATCTTTGAAAATCTTCTTCTCAAGAACCACTGGGCCAGAAAAGCTGAAACTTATGTGGAAGCATCCTGGTATAGTGTAGATTCTAAATTATAGGAATCATGACCCCCGGGGGAAGGGCGGGGCCACAATGGGGAATCAAAGTTTTATATAGAAATATATAGGAAAAATCTTTGAAAATCTTCTTCTCAAGAACCACTGGGCCAGAAAAGCTGAAACTTATATGGAAGCATCCTGGTATAGTATAGATTCTAAATTAAATCATGACCCCCGGGGGAAGGGCGGGGCCACAATGGGGAATCAAAGTTTTACATAGAAATATATAGGAAAAATCTTTGAAAATCTTCTTCTCAAGAACCACTGGGCCAGAAAAGCTGAAACTTATGTGGAAGCATTCTGGGGTAGTGTAAATTCTAAATTATAGGAATCATGACCCCCGGGGGAAGGGCGGGGCCATTATAGGGAATCAAAGTTTTACATAGAAATATATAGGAAAAAGTTTTGAAAATCTTCTTCTCAAGAACCACTGGGCCAAAAAAGCTGAAACATATGTGCCAATGGAAGGATCATGGGGTAGTGTAGATTTCAAAATGTCTAAATTATGATCAGTGGGGTAATGTGGGGATGCATTATGTATAACAAGGGTGAAATCTGGTAAAGGACAGAATGGTCAAAGCTTCTCAGGTGAGCGATGTGGCCCATGGGCCTCTTGTTATTAATTATTATTTTTATTTATTATTTTTAACTTCTTATGTTGATACATATTGATGAGAGATATGCAACTGCATCAACATTTTTGACCTTGACCTTTGCTTTAACATTGACCTCACTTTTCCTAAATTAGTGTCAAATGTCATAAGCTGATAGATATTGAGGTAAGCATTTCAAGTGTATCAGTTTTTACCTTTACCTTTCATTTGACCTTGATCTAACTTTTTTCCATTTTTGTTTAAGTCAGTTTTAAAGAAACCATTTATAATCATATTTTCAACTTCATTTGCTGATACTTACTGATGAGAGCTTTTCAACTTAATCAAGTCTTTGACCTTGGTATTTTCTTTGATGTTGACCTCATTTTAATGAAATTAGTGTCAAACTTCATATGCTGATACATACTAATGTAAGCAATTCAGCTGCATCACTATTCAAGATATTCTGATCAAATTTTATACACATACACATTTTCATGTTGCTTTACTGATATATCCTTGATGGGGCATTCATATCCTATGGACACATTTCTAGTTTAATTTTGCTTTAATTGAAGATATGTTTATTATTTTTCCAGTCTGGCAAAATTACAAGACTATTCCATGATATATACATCTTCATGTACACCATATAATAATTCATTTTCAGTGGGAATTTTTAGAATTTTTCCATATGAAAATATTAGTACTTATGTACATTGTATTCATAATCATATTTGAGGCACCCAAATGACAGAATTCTTGTAACTTAGAGTGAAGACTTACGATGATTTAATTTTCATGTCTATAAACAGCTGACCTTGAGCCCTAGAAAATTGTTGACCTTAGGCATGTTAGGTAAAAGAAAGGTTTGACACTTAGTAAAAGAATAGACCTCTCATATTGCAATTTCATACTGCAACTTTGAAATACTCAGTACATGTAGTTGGTGCTAGGGTTTTCATACTCATACTTCACATGTGTTTTCATTGTGAGCAAATATACATTTACCTGTGTGCTCAATATATCTCATAAATATCCTTCATCCTAATTTTTTCTGCACTGACATCATCTGATTCAATACTTGCCCTTTCCCTTTCTGTTTCACAAAGTACAAGTTAGGGTATAGAATGAATCTGGCTCCTTATTTGATTTAAAATCAGAACACAAATTTTGAGATTTTATACATGTACATAAGGCCATTCCAAATTTTTCTACGTTTAGCGTCCACGTGCGCCTTGGTTTTTCATTACCCGTGTCAGAAAAAACCAAACCGAATCAAAATCATTTGTGATTTCCGGCAATATCTCTAAATATTTGTATAATATTTCATTATTGGAATATTATCAGTATTTAATACCTTGATTTTGCTGAACAAAATAACTTTCTTTATTAAAAATAGATAACTTAAATCATATCTTTTGAATAAAGTCATTCTCATTACTATAAATATGTGTTTTATTTTTTTGACTTGTGTGTTTATTGCAAAAAGGTAGCTAGGTTCTTGAAATATGGGTGAACGATAAACAGAGAAAAAACTTGGAATGGCGTAAAATGCAGTTAAACATAGCTTGCATGAGTATTGTTTTCAAGATGCACACTATCAATAAAAATTAAATAAGGTATGTTAATCATTGGTTAGCTTCTGTTTGTATGAATAAAGTGTCAACTTCCTGTTTATCTTTTAAATTATATGTCTGTCCATCTGAAATTTTTCAGCACTCACTCATCATGCTCATCACAGATGCTTAAAATTTTAGTACACTCTTTATTTAGCATACCATATATTAAGATGTATTAACAGCTTAATTTATAGTGATACATGTATTTATATTGGAGCAGTAGTATACAGGTAAATGTATGTACTAGTAGTTAGCATTTACTCTGTTCTTTAAAATTCTTGCTAATCATCGGCATGTTGGCTCATTGTCCCCCGTTTTCGCGAAAGTGAGGGGACATTAAATCTTATTCGTCTGTCCATCTGTCTAGCTGTCTAGCTGTCCGTTTAGCTGTCCGTCCGTCACAAAAACTTTAACCTTGCCCTTGATTAAGTGGAGCTATGAATTTGATATTTCATATGTGTATTCCTTGTGACAAGGCCTTTCATTGGGTACCACTAAATTTGACTTTTTGACCTTGACCTTGGATTTAACCCACTTACAAGCAAAAATTCCAAACTTTAACTCAGGCCATAACTTTTGAATGGTAGTTCCTAGGACTTTCGTATTTCACATATGTATTCTTTGTAGCAAGACCTTTCATTGGATACCAACAACTTTGACCTTTTGACATTGACCTTGGATATTTCCATACTTATGAAAAAACTTTAACCTAGACCATAACGTTTGAATGGTAAGAGCTAGTGCTTTCAAACTTCATATATATAATTCTTGTGAGAAGACCTATCATTGAATACCAAGAACTTTGCCCCTTGGACCTTGACCTTGGAGTTAGACCTACTTTTTAAAAACTTTGACCTTGGTCACAACTTTTGAACAGTAGATACCAGGACTTTCATATTTCGCATAATTATGTATTCTTTGTTGTAAGACCTTTCGTTTGATACCAGCAACTTTGACCTTTTGATCTTGACCTTGGAGATTTTTTGAACTTATGAGAAAACTTTAACCTTGACCATACTTTTTTGAATGGTAAGGGCTCATATTAGACACAAATTGTCATTAAAAATGACATCCACCCAAAAATCATCGAAAGCAGGGGACCACAATTCTTTGAATTTGATTGTGTTATTCTTGTGTACCATTGTCACCTTGTTGAATAAATATTTTATGAAGAAAAGATTTTTATCTTACAGATTTTTTGATCCAGATAGTGTATCTCAATCAACACATGAAAAAGTTGAAACAAAGCAAGCTTTTGCCAACATAGGCCGCAGCCCAGAAGGATGCTATTTCTGTGTGATAGTAGTTATCTGTTTTGTAATTGTTCATTTCAATTATTTATAAACAAAAAATCAAGAAGTTGATACACATTTTACTTCCATTATGTTCTTTTCTGCTTAAAAAAGGAGAACACTTATTTATGCACTTCAGTGCATAATTTTTTGAGTGCTTAATTGTTTCCTCATTTCTTAATGTACATAGAAAATGTATCTTAAAATAATAAACATGATTTTAGTTCAAGATTGAAATTTCTTGCTACATGTAATGAGACATACCACATACAGATTTTCTTATTGCCAACTTATTAGAGTTTAAAGCTGAATACGATTCGTAAAAGGAAATTAAATGTGTCTGCCATAATCATGATAATTGTTCTTATTTCATCTAAAGTTATTAAAAACTTAAGTTCTACCATTTTCCATTAATACATAACAAGATTGCCACTTTTCATATGTATATGTAGTAAGAGTTAAAGTAAAGGATGACTGCACTTAAGGAAACTTAGAAATTGCGACATAAGTAATTTTTAAAATATGCATTTCTCTTTCAATGGTAGAAATGGTCAATGTCTTTACTGCAACTTTGTGTAATTACGTTAATTAAAAGTTCGTATTAACGAAGTTCGAAGTCGTTTTTATAGGGAGGGGTCATCACATATTCTGGAATCTCCATAGGATAATGAGTACGCCCATCTTTTTACAGGCTTAATACATAGTCAGCGCATGTTTGTCTATTGATTTCCTTTTTATGGTAGTTGTATATTTATACATATTACCTCATATTAAAAGGAGATCAATAGACAAACATGCGCTGATGGTTAAAAAGAGAAAAAACTGTTTCTTCGTGTGTTCACTTTCTCAATAGTATATAGGCCATTTTGACCACGTTGTTACCTAGCTGTTGAATATTATAATTAAAAACATGATTTCTATACCCAGGTAACAGAGGGCGACTTCGATTCATACCCGAGTATTAACTCTTGGTTAACGTCACATGACCGGATGTTATACAAACATGTGGTTTTCAAGCGAACTCATATGAGTTCGAAGGGTAGCGAAAATAAAATAAATTTCCTCTATGAGTTTTAAAAGGCGGTCCAATAAATTGAAATGAAGTTATAAAATCTTCTTCTCAAGAACCACTGGGCCAGAAAACTGAAACTACTTATGTTGAAGCAGCCTTGGGAAGTGCAGATTCTAGATTCTGTTTAAATTGTGACATGGGGGAGGGGTGGTGGTACGGCGGGGCTACAATAGGTATAACTATAGAGGAAATCAGGTGAGCGATGTGGCTCATGGGCCTCTTGTTACATATCAATTTAAAGTGTATTACTGACAATGTTTGCAAAAATAGGAGTCTCATTTTACGGGTATATAGTAATCAGTATGTACGTCCGTTCGTCCGTCTAGCTGTCCGTACTTCTGTTACGCTTGTGGGTACCCATCACTTATCCGCAACTCCTCCCATACCAATGAATGAAATTTGATAAAACTTTCACAGAATCTTTATTACATACTAACATTATGCACCTCCTATTTTACTTTTTGATCTGACACATATTTTGGGTTTCCCATAGCAAACTATGGATACCGCTTTTATATTCATGTGGGAGACGGTGGTATCATTTAGTGAGCTCATTGAGCACAGTACCTCTAGTTTTTATTGAAAAAAAGCAGTTTTTATGATGTGAAAAAGTTTCCTATTAATTGTAAGGAATGTTTTCTTAAAGAGCTACAACTCCGTAGACGGTTTGTAGGAAATGCTCACGTCTGTGTGGCACAAGACAGATTACTTCTCTGATGTCTCAGATGTGTGCTCTTCTCCTTGATTTGTGTTGTTTGCTTATATGCTTGAATAGTGTTTATCTTTTGAAAGCATTCGTATTACCTACAATAACATACGACGTTTCGTGCTACTGATTTCTGTAAAGATTTCGGTGACAACCTACGCGATGCATAAAGATCTGTGCTTGCGAGTGTTAAATATGGTTCACATAGAGAACATTTTGTATATATCAAATCTTACAAAAATACAATACAGCAAGATTTTATTAAACTTGTCAATTACGTAACAATGTAGTCTATGCATGAGGGGAGAAAAAAAATATTTTAGCATTATAACATATGCATTTGTTATTATTTTGATAAAGATAAAAAAAAAAGACATTATAAATTTAAATTTTATGTTCTTGTAGAATTCTATACATAATTTTTACATAAAACATTTTTTAGTACTTTCAATATTTATTGCTCACCATATGATAACCATTCATCGAATTGAAATTTAAATATTCAAATAAACTAAAAAAAAAATCATATTCATGGAGAATTATCAAAGAACAAGGAATCAAATATGGAAGTTAACATTCCTTTGTTTTCTCATCTCCAACATTCTTACAATTAAGTTTAACTCTCTCTATTTCCCTTCCAACCTTCACTCCCTGAAATTGAATATTGATTGCATGCATCTTTAAAAACTTTCTTAAAAGGGGGTTCATATTTTATGGCGTATTCTTAGGTACCTGTATCAACGTCATTAATGCAATACAAAATACATGCATGTCGCCCTCCAAACGAAGATTTCTTTTTTTTTTAAATGATTGTGAATAAACAGTTCGAGTGGGTTCATAGTTGAAAATGAATTCTAACCTCCTATATTTTTTTATGTTCTTATTAGATTTTCCATAGAATTCAAAAAGCATGTTTATAATATAGAAAATTTAACGACTAGCTATAAGTATGTATCAAAGCGAAAAAAAAACATAATAGATTAAGGATTCTTTCTAATTTGTCATCTTTTGTCGAAATCCACGTAATATACAGACTTTTATTTATACTTCTTTTCATAATTAACGCTTGAGAGTGATAATTGAAATTGAAATCTTATGCCCTGTTTACACGACAATTTACTGAGACATTCAGGCGTGAGGAAGGCTATTTTTGACGTCATTTGTAAATCACGTCACCTTATGCAGAAGCAGATGCATTTGACATACGCTGCACTGTTAAGGCCTACTATGAGAAATCAAGGGAAAATAGACCTGCAAAAAAGGGGGATTTTTTAAAACTTAGTTTATTTTAATTAAGCTGTTTTATTATCACAGAACTTTAATACTTATAGTAATAGCATAGTATAACCCACTCTGTATTGTATGAAGTTTAGTCCCACCGATGGACAGTCACGTGATGATTGCATAGTTCTTGTACAGAATGTAGGTCATTAACAAATTTCAATATTGCAGGGACATACCCTAGTTGATATTAAAAATTCAAGCTATTAATTGTTTTTGCATACTTTGTAGTTTCTGAAAGGTGCTGCTGCTTTGAATAGTATTCGCTTTTTAATATTTAAGTTTCCAGTGAATCGGCCAATTTCGAAATATGTTTGACTTTTACCAAATATTTTGTGTACTTATAAAATCACGCGCTCGATTTAAAGAAAGCAGCATTTTTCAGTTTAAGGAAAATATCCTTATTCTATATTCAAAAAAATAATTAAGATCTATGCAGTGTATGCCTTTGCGTAAAATATAAGAAACATGTAAATAAAAACACGACATAATTCATATAATACATTCTCTTGATAGTTAATTAAAAATCGCACTAAACAAGGGATATACATTGCTATTTATCAACTATTTAAAACCTGTAAAAAATATTCCGTTTAATAATAAAACGCATTTTTTAGGTCACCTGAGTAAACTCAGGTGACCTATTGCTATCCGTTTTTGTCTGTCGTCGTTCGTCATACGTCGTCCGTCGTACGTCGTTCGTAAACTTTTGAACATTTTCAGCTTCTTCTCTGCAACCACTGAACCAATTTCAACCAAATTTGGCACAAAGCATCTATGGGTGAAGGGGAACAAAAATTGTGAATTTCATGATCCCTGCCCCCCTGGGGCCTGAGGGGTGGGGCCAAAACCACTAAAATTATTGCAGTCTTTAAAAATCTTCTTCTTTACTCCTGGACATTAAGCAGTCAAACTGTTTGCATGATTGTAATCAGCATTGAGTCCTCTACCAAAATTGTGAAATTCATGGCCCTGGGATCAGGGGTTCTAGTGCTAGGGCAGGACTAAATAAGTATATAGTGAAAATGCATTATTTCTTTGAAAATCTTCTTCTCTGCTCCTGGGTATTAAATAAACCAACTAAGTAGATAGTTATGATGAGCAAGAGTGCCTCTACCAAAATTGTGAATTTTATGGCCCCAGGGTCAGGGGTTCTGGTGATAGGGCGGGGCTCTATTGATTATATACAGTGAAAATACATGATTTCTTTGAAAATCTTCTTCTCTGCCCCTGGGTATTAAATAAACTAACTAAGTGCATAGTTATGATGAGCAAGAATGCCTCTATCAAAATTGTGAATTTTATGGCCCCAGGGTCAAGAGTTCTGGTGTTGAGGGGTGGGGGTGGTGTGCGCTATTGATTATATAGTGAAAATACACGAATTCTTTGAAAATCTTCTTCTATGCTCCTAGGTATTAAATAAACTAGCTAAGTGCATAGATGATGAGCAAGAGTGCTTTTACCAAAATTGTGAATTTTATGGTCCCAGGGTCAGGGGTTCTGGGGGGGGGGGGCTCTATTGATTATATAGTGAAAATACATTAAATCTTTGAAAATTTTCTTCTCTGTCTCTGGGTATGAAGCAGATGAACTACCTATATAGTTATGATGAGCAAGGACCCTAATCTTGCAGAATTGTGAATTTCAAGGCCCCACGGGTGGGGCTCTACTTATATACTGAAAATGAATTAATTGTTTGAAATCTGCTCCTTTGTATTTATAAAACATTTTAATTGTTTGAAATCTGCTCCATTGTATTTATAAAACATTTATTTTTTGAAAGGCAATTTTAAGGGTGCCTTTTTAAAATTTGTGCAATGTGTGGACCTAGGGTCAGGGGTTTATTTCACAGTGTTATGGGCACTACTGATTATTGCTGAATATTACTGATTAGTTGGAATGCATTTTTGTTCCCCTACCTTGCGTATGGGTATTCAGTACCTCTGCAAGGTGATCATGAATAATTCATGAATTTCCTTGAATTTTTCTTGAATTTTATTCATGAAATGTTCATGAAACTTTCATGAAGATCCTATGAATTTATTATTGGACATTTTCAAATCAATTAACCAAGCTAACAACTGCTAAGTGTATTGTTATGATG